TAAACACCTCGTGTGCAGCGGGCGAGCTGCACTAAAACAGCGGCCGCCGCCGGGGGCGCCAGAGAGAGCAACGGGTAGAAATGAAGCGAATCTCTAACAACCCCTGACACATGGGGGGAGAATAAAACAAACAACGCGCTCGTCGAGCTCGTAGAAAAGACCTCCACCAGGTGGTTTGCACGGGGATTATATTGATCTGGCATCAAGAAAATGTATGCATAGCTTTGATTTTTCAGCCATTTCTAATTTGCTGCGACGGCTATAATCCAAATCGTGAGGGTCGTTTGTACTTAATGTAGCTCTATCATATTAGCCAGCTATTGTAATAGCTACTTGCTGTCAAGCTAAGACATAGCTGCTCAGCTTTTTTTCTCCGTGGGGACATGCAGACTGAAAAAAAGCGAGGAAAAAACATGCAGTTTTGATTGCGGACTCACCTTTGCGAAGTCTATCTTGAGTGTGCAGCAGCCTGAATAGATGTCGGCGCCTTGTAGTGCATCCTTGGCGCGTTGTGCAGCTTCAATGTTGTCGAACGTGAGAAAGGAGTTAAGGATCATGACCAAAATTTATGAAAGAAAAGAGAGACCTTCAGCGAAAGAAAAACAGTAAGGGGCGCACTACGCGCGATAACGAATATAAACAACAGTCGTTTCCGAAAAAGGGTAAAACGACCCCCCTCCCTTCCCTTACCCCCCTCTTTTGCTTTCCCTACAGCATATTGCTGTATAAATCCTCTCTCTCCCCCCCTACAAAAAAGCAGCACCCAAACCACCCCCAGCCAAACTCCAGAGCGGGATGGGGTTTTCCTGCTTATCGTTGGGGCATAGAGTCGAATCAGATCAAAGCGCGACACCGCAAGAGTAATCTTGCATCTCCAGTGGAAAGGGGAGTGGGGGGCTCGGCCAGGCGCACCCGGGTTGGCACATCATATCGATCCCTCTCCCCCGCCTAACCACCGCTCCTCTTCGCCCTCTCTCATATTCACTCCTTTTATGCTTATCATGTAACGGGTAAAACGAGAGAGAGGCGCAGAGATGTGGAGCAGAGGAAGAGAAAAGAGCATAAGACACAGAGATAGCGAGAGAGGCTTAAAGACCTTCTCAAGACCCCGGCTGCGTAGGCAGGCGTCTGCATTTCTGCTCGTCCCTCCTCTCTCTATCATTCTTTCTCACCACCACCACCACACACGCTCGTTCTCTCTCTCTCTCTCTCTCTCTCTCTCTCTCTCTCTCTCTCTCTCTCTCACTCGGTCCCTCGTAGCGCACCACAAGTCCTTGTAATCCTGAATTATTGCTCGTGACTGTCGCCTCGGTATTACATTATTACTCGCGCCAGACAGAGACAAAAAGGCGCTGGCCCGGCGCTCCCGATACAGATATATTTATTACACACACCACACCCCACTCGACCGCACTACTACACTCCACCACTCGCAAACGCAATCCAATCATTCGGCGGACACAGAGATCTCCAATAAGGGCCGCACGCCATTCGCTGCCCTTTCGAGCCCCTGCGAGGTAGGCAGGGCGGGCGGGGAGGCGCGCATGCCCGCTCGCGCGCGGCCTACCTCCCGGGCGCTCCACGGGGGGCGGTCATGTTCGAGTGCGCAACGTTCCGAGAAACGAGTCGTTGTCGTCGCCGTTGTCCGGCCGGGCAGGCCAGCCAGGGGCCCGCGCAGGTGCTCCCGCCCGCCACCCACCAGAGCCGTATCACGCACGCGATAACCCCCCCTTCCCCCCTCGGGATACTCTCCTTACGCAACGCGCGCTATTGCCCGAGTGATAAAGGGGGTAGTTACGCCCCCCAGGTGGAGGGGGAAGGGGGTTCTTTCCGCGAATGAAAGCAGGGAAAGGAAATAGGGGGTAGGGGAGGAAAGGTGTGAGGGGAGGGGGCAGGAAAACGTCCTGGCAAGCAGTTTATACCGTCCGTACGAGCGGCGCGCAGCTAGTGGAGTAGAGGGAGGCAACTTTTAATGAAGTCCAGAGGCGGCTGAGCGGGGTGTGGCGGGGTGTGGCGGGGTGTGGTGGGGTGGGGCGGGACACACCTCGTCAACGCCAAAGCTCCCGACAGCGCCCTTCCCCCAACAGTAGCGCGCTGCCCCCACCACCCGCAAGACGCAACCGTATACAGAAAGCGCGGACCGCAAACCCCCAAAAAGGAAGGAAACTGCAGAAACTTTTCACTTAAACTTGGTACGATTTCTCCCACGGCCCTGGGAGCAGCATATCGTATCGAACTGCTGTTGCGGTCGGGTCGGGTCGGGCCGGGCTGAGCCAGGGTCCCTTTGCGTGCGCCGAGGGGAGGGGCCATTGTGCGGGGGAGGGAAGGGGAGGCAAGAAGGTCCTGTGATGAGCATTACAAGAGCAGCCTGGGGGAGGGAGAGGGGGAGGTAGAGAGAGAGAAGGGCCATCTCGCTCACCTGTCGATACATTGTGGCCCCCCAGAGGGAGCCGAACGGTATCGTGCCGACACACTCCTCAAATCACTGCCACGGAACGCAACAATAGAGGGCAGCCGGCGGGGGAGCTATACACGTAAAACACAAGACCAGCCCCTACTACCGACCCCTCCGGCAAAAAAGAAAAGACTGACCAAGAAAAAAAAACTCCCAAAAAGAAGAAAAAACAAAAAAGAAGAAAGGTAGCGAGGAGTCAACGACCATCCAAGCACCTTCCCCTCAAAAGCCTGACTCCCACCTCAACTCCACCCGCTCTCTATCGCCCTTGCTCCGGGAGAGAAAAGGAGCCCAAAGAGAGAAATGCAGGGCGGCTGTGAAAGACCAACCCCCCCTCCCCCCTTTCTTCACGAACAGCCCCTCCCCCTCACGCCCCTTTGACGGACCGATCGCGAATAGTCCTTCTTGCCGGCCGCCGAGCCGGCCGGAAACGGCGCGCTCAAGTGTTTCTTTTTTATCAGCATCGCTTTTCGACACAATCATACAATTTCTCCGACGAGCCCCCATTTCCTGGCCCCCGTGGGCTCTGAGAGCGAGCCCCGAGCGAGCCGGGGGAGGAGAGTTGCGGGGAGCAGGTCCGACGACATACCTCGCCGCAGAAGCAAAAGGGCGGGCGGGGCAGACGTCGTCTACTGCTCCGCGCAGGACCGCTGGACCGAGAGAATTGGGGCTAACGGAGAGAGGAGAGGGGAAGGGGGAGAGAAGGTATATGAGAGGGGGAGGGACATACTTGGGATAGCAATGTGCCGCTCAGCCTTGCGGTTCGCCACGCAGCAGCAGCCCGCAGCACCAAAGGGTGCCCCTCATCTCCTGTCGCACTCGCAACTCCACCCGCCTCCTCTCCCTCTCCCTCTCTCTCTCTCTCTGTCCCTCTCACTCCCGTCGACGACAGGCACGGCGGGGTTTGGATGGAATACGTCCGATTGCATTGTGATTGCATACGAAATGTGTCACGGGTTGCCGCATCCCATACATTCTCAACACGCGCGCGCCACACACAATCTGCATGCGTAACGGGAACGCCAGATTGGTAGGTAGAGATGGGCCCGGGCCTCGGCCGGGGCGGCGCGCGAGCAACAAGAAGAAGCGTCGAGAGATGATGAATTCGCGCGATAGGGCCGGCGAGGCCATATCTCACCCCCTTCAAGCTCTCCCCCCGCCTCGACTGCACCAGCGCGCGCGGGCTGCGCGGGCCGCCCTCTAGAGAACGCGAGCGAACAAGACAAATGAAGCGCCACTACCACCTAGAGGGCCTGGAGCGGCCTGGAGGGTGGAGGGCTTGCCGGTGGAGAGTCTAGTCGGCGCAGTCGGGGTCACGTGCAGGAGGCGCGGGGGGAGCTGGCGGGGGGTGGTGAGGGGAGCCAGGAAGTGTGTTCGCTCACCGAGCCGCGCAACCTCGGGACTCGTAGGCGACGTCCAAATTACCTCAGAGAGTTTGCTCTTTTACCGTCTGCACCAACCGGGACCGGGGGCAGCAGCAGCGCAGGCAACCCAGCCCAGCCAGCGGCACAGCAGAGGAGGACTCACCGGTAGGTGGAGGGGAGAGGGGTAGGAGAGAGAGAAGAAACGCCTTGCCCCGCTTTTCAAACAAATTTGAATGCATCATGCATGAGGGCAGGTATACAGCGTGGGTGATCTCACCCTCCCCCACTACCTGCAGACTTTGGATTGGAGTGCTTATACTCGCCGAGCTGCGTAACAGGCTTCACTCCGACAGGAGAAGGAGGAAGAAGAAAAAGAAGCTAACGGGCCGCTGTTTGAACTCGGTCCGCGGAGCCACGTCGGCAGCCCCTCACCCTCACCTCGCCCCACCCCCGGGCTGGAGTGGGGGGCTGACACCAGCGGGAAAAGATGGTCCCTAGATGGCGGGGCTTTCAAATCCAGTTACCGATAGAGTTGCTCCCCCGGGGCGAGGACCGCGCAGGCGTAACAGAAAGAAGAAGAAGAACAGGGGGAAGACGACGGAGAACTGAGCCGCGCGGGCGCGCCCCCGCGGCGCCTCCGGCGATCCCAAGAAGGTCAAAGGTGACGTTGCGGGGTGCGGGCCGTGCGGGCCGTGCGGGCACGGGTCAAGAGGCACGAGGCGCCCCCGCGGCGACGAAAGCCAGCAGAGCGAGAGAGACAAGAAGAGTCCCGCCTACACAACACCACCTCACCTCACGCTCGCGGCCGACAAGGCGCTCAACTTTGAGCCCCGCCACGTCACCACCCCCCACCGCCGCAGCAGACATTCAAATGCCCCCCCCCCCCCTTCCGCAACCCCCAAACAACCGGCTACAATCCCCGGCCGCCGCTGCGATGGACGGCTCGCCTTGCCGCGCCCCTCGCCACCACCGCCACCTCCTGCAGGCGGCAGGCTAAACGAAAGCACTTAGCGAACTTGGAGCGCACGGCCAAGCGTAGCCTTGTCAGTAGTTTGGAACAACACGCCGCGGCGGCGGGGTCAGAGACACGCACTAAAACAATATTATCCACAGCCGGCGGCTCAGGCCCGCCCGAGCCTGCCTCGACTTTACGAACCCAGCAGCAGTGCACTCAGTACACGCGAGGAAGAGTTGAGTTGACTTGCAGGCACGCACTTAAGTGTGAGGATATTGCCACAGAACACAAAAGTTAGAGTACAATAATTGCCATAGTACACACGAATCAGTTTAAACTTACTGTGGTAAGTAAACTCTACCTTTGTATTTACTCTAGATTATGGCAAGTACACCCACATAACACTTTTCCTTGAGTGTACTAAATTAGGTGGTTTTGGGTTTGTAGTCTTGGCAGGGTGGGAAAAACAAATAAAAAGCGACGCAAGGCAAGTCGTGCGACAGGCGACAGGCAGGCAGTAGTGGGGGTCGTCGCGACGCCGACGCCGGGCGCCAGCGTCACCCCTCGCCGTCTTCCGTAACGTCATTACAACAGATGGAGATCAGCGCCTCACTTTGGATGAGCGCGCGTCATTACACCGGCCGAGAAACGGCAGAAGCAGCGGCAAGCTGATTAGCGGCGCCGCCATTGGCCGGCAGCCCGTCGAGCCGCGGGCGCTGATTGGCCGCCGACAGCCGCCATGCAGGCGGGCGTAGACCGA